ACAGAGCTTCGAAGTGTCGGTCGATAGGCCAGTGGGGAGAACAGCAGTCCTTTCTCTAGCTGACTGTAATAGGAATTTATGCCATCAGATCAAACCACTTAGACACAAATTGCAGCCTGGGTCAGTGCGTTGTCAGGACCTTAATCCAGATGCCCTTCCTGTCAAGGAGGCAGGGTGTTTTTAAGCAAGCACCCAGGAAGAGGAGGAACCATGCACAGGTGTCCCAGAAGTTTCCTCTCTGGACATTCGAGAGATTCCAGAGCCCTCCACCTCCACCTCCACCCTGTCTGTGATCCCCAACCCTTTGAAGTTGCAGCCTAAAGGTGAGCCTTCATCTGGGCAAGACACTCTCAGAAAATCTGGGCTCTCTAGCCACAAACACTCGCAATGTTGTCCACTCAAACGTTCCAGGCCAACAGGGTGCGTTACAGAGTAGGCAATGAGTTAAATCACACTGCGGACTCATAGGTAGCATAAGCAGCACATCTGTAAATATCATCAACCACTCACTTATTCACAAGTATGGTTATCCACACAGGAAATTCTGTGTCACTTGTCACGAGTTCTGTGGGTCCTTACCTGGTTGATGTGCCCAACCCTAGAGCCATATCTCTGACCACAAATTTTGCAGGCATTTCCAGGAGATGGAATTAATCATTGGCATGCTTTTCTCCAGTTCCTCTTCCATGCTTTCACTTTCCAACAGGTGTTCTCAAAGAACCGTGTCCCTTCCTGCAAAAGCTCCCTCCATGTCAGTTTCTTCTAAATTAGGGTCTCCCACACATTGACATCTGTGTTACATTTCTTGAAGGAAGTCTTCAAGGAGTCTTTGAAACATTTCCTTTGTTCTCCTCTCATTTGAGTGCCTTCCTTAAGCTGGACAAAGAAGATTTGCTTTGGCAACTGGAACTCAGGCATCCTAAGAATGTGACTGCCCCAGTAGAGCTGGTTTCAAATGACCATGGCCTTGATGCCAGTGCTACCAGCTCCTTCAAGAATGCTGATGTTAGTATGCCTGTCCTCCCAGCTGATGCAGAGAACCATTCTCAAAACAGTATTGATGGTACTTCTCAAGGGTCTTGAGTTGGCATCTATACATAGTCCAAGTATTGGAGCCATATAGATGAGTCAGAAGGATGACTCCTTTACGCACTAGGATCTTGGTAAAGGCAAGGATGTCACAGTTGTCAAAGATTTTCATTCACAAGTGTCTGAAAGTGGTACTTGAAGATTGGATGTTGATGTGAGGATTCAGCAGCACATCAGCCTTGGATGAGAGGTATTTTGCGAGGTAGGAGAAATGTTCCACACTTGGGAAGATTTCTCTGGTGATTTTAATGGAGTGATGGACCAGAATATGACCTGGGACAGGTTGGTGAAGGATATTCATTCTTCCCTTCTTATAGTTTGCAAATATGTACCCACACTCCATCATGTGATCCATTGTGATTTTGGTTGTCAGACTTGGTTAGGTGGTTATCGTGTCAGATTTAGTCAGGAACGTCCTTTGGTGACATATACTTTGTAGATGAATTTAAAAATATATATATATCATTCCAGGGTTGTGTACATTGCTTCTGTATTTATTTATTGCCACTCCCTAGTTGCCCTTGAAAAGGCAGTGACCTGCTTTCTTGAACTGCTGTCATCCACTTGCTATAAGTAGACCTCCAATGTCACTAGAGACAGAATCCAGGATTTTGACCAAAACTGAAGGAACAGCAATAGATTTACAATTTGTTGATTGTTGCAATAGTGTTCGCTGCAGCCAAGGCATGTAACTGAAAGCGAACCGTCACAATGGCTTTGTGCTGATATCCTTTTTCCAGGAAGCAGCCAGCTGTATCACCCTTTTCTTGCCAGCATCATCTTTCCAGAAAGAAGTAATCATAATCATCATCATAATTAGCCTCTCTGCAAGTTCTTTTTCAGAGAAAAGATACACACGCTCTGTGCAGCGGTATCTGGTAGCAAGGCCATCACAAGACTCTTGGAGTTTCTGTCTAGATGGTGAGTTGGAGTCTGTTGACCTGGAAGTGGATTCATACCTTGAGCTGGCTCTCAAGTACTCTCCAGATGATCTCTAGACCTTCACAATTGTCCTCAGAAAAATAACTGATGTTTTTATTCAGTAAACCCATCCTTCCTGATAACAAGAAATATTTATAATTTGTAGCTTGATCTGCCACGTAAAACTGAATATGTTACTTAAATAGTTGCTGTTTGGTAAGGAGCATTGCTGTATAATCCATAATCAAACATCTCCTTCAATATTTTCTTGAAGATCTATGGCTCTTTGAAATAGAGTGCAGGCCTTGTTTATTCCTTTCTGTTACTTGGTTTATTGTTCTGGCTTTGATTGTACCTTCTTTTGTTTCTATTGGACTTCACTTTCTCATGGTTGTATCCTTTTAAAGGCGTTTTGAAGAGTGTGTGTGCGTGTGCGTGTGCGTGCGTCTTCAATAGATAAAGGCTTGTAATAGCAGCTTTCATCCACCATCTAGAGTTCATACCAAATTTGAACTGACAATGTCACATCAGCTTAGGCACTTAATTGAAGGAGACAAAATGGCGGCTCTGAGCAACCATTGCACAAGAGGTTAAAATAAAAACACTCTTTAATGCTTAAAGCATTGTTATTTTTGAACAAGGAAGGCTACACAATTAGAATGACAGAATCCTTTCACTGTCAATGTTAGTTTTAATGTGGAGGTGCCAGTGTTGGACTAGGGGGGGGGACAGATTCAAAAGTCACATGACACCAGGTTTTTGTCCAACAGGTTTATTTGGAATCACAAGCTTTCGTCTGGGCAAAGGGCTACGCTCTGAAAACTTGTGATTTCAAATAAATCTGTTGGACTAAAACCTGGTCTTGTGTGACTTCTAACAATAGAGATAACACAGTGTGGAGCTGGATGAACACAGAAGGTCAGGCAGTATCAGATGTGCAGGAAAGTTGACATTTCGGGTCAGGACCCTTCATCAGAAATGGGTCCCAGCCTGAAACATCAACTTTCCTGCTCCTCTGATGCTGCCTGACCTGCTGTGTTCCTCCAGCTCCACACTGTGTTATCTCTGACACTAGCATCGGCAGTTCTTACTATCTCTGAGTGACTTCCAACAATGTTAGTTTTAAGTATGTAAGAATCCTTTTCAGCTGATTTGCTGTATCTTAACTTTTAATGTCAAGAAGCAGGCAGACATTTAAAAACAAATGCCAAGAGAAACAGTGGGCTCCTATCTTTATATGTCTTGAATTTAAATAGACAGGAGCCAGAATACCTTCTTTCTACTTAAAGTTGTTGATCTGTACTCACATTTACTTGTTGTTGGTTGTCTGAATGGTTTATGATATGAGGCTTTTGGAAACTCTTTTATAAGTAATTACTGGGTGCTTATTACCATTCTGTCCCATGACAGGATGTGGCAGCATATACTGATGATCTACTCCTACTGCACTGCGATACTTATATCCTCTTATGTCACATGAGCTAATACATAGATCACCTAAGACTGAAGAATGCAACAAACTCACAATACAGCATTTGGCATCTACATACACTTATGTATTCCAATCATAGCTACTTGTCTGTCTGAGTTCAAGATCCAAACGTACTGCGGGATACTACCAACTGGATGTTATGTTGCAAGAGAACAGACCTCAGGAAGATTTGAGACTTTGAGCTTTATACATTAGGTCACATGCCTTGATATGGTGATGAAATCTTTCCCTTGAAGCTATATCACACATCTATTGCAAGAAATAATATGATACCTGAGTTCTGTGTTTACTGGTGTTGCTGTAGATAGTGTAGTAAATCATTTATTTTCGCACAGACTTCATGACACAGACAGACAACTAAAGCTGGGAGAGATATTATTGTATCAAATGGCTCATTTCATGATTTCATGTATCTGTTTTAAAAAGGTACAGGCCAGTCAGGTCTGGAATCTATGCCAAAATACAACATAATGTAAAGTGGATGTTAATGCTGTTTGAGCATTAGAAGAAACTGTTTCCCACATTTCATGGTCAAGTGTCAACAAGTTAACTAACCTTTCTTTACAAGTTAATTTACACATGATTGGAGAGCTAAGTCACTTAGTTCAATATTAAATACAATCATGCAAGTTAAGTACCTTAACAATTAAAAATGAGCTACTTAACATTTGCCAATGATTGGACTTAATTTCAATTGGTTGTAACTGAAACAAAATTATGCCAGTCAGGCTTAGGTACATTTTAAATTTGATTAAGAGTACAGTGCAATGTAAAATCACTGAATCACCTTCAATTTGTGAAGAATTTCTAGATGTAATCTTTTCTCTTGAACCAGATGCAATGTTTGCAATAAGAGCATAAACATTTTCAATTTATGAATTATTCTGGTGTTTTACTTTTTTTTGGTCAAGAAAAATGAGACAGCTTGTCATGAGATAGTAAATGTTGCTAAGTTTTTAAAATGTAGCTTGCTTTTTTTTTGGGGGGGGAGTAAAAATAGTTTCACCACCTTGCTTGACCTTTTGTTAAAGATTTTTATCCTACTGAAGGTAATATCTGTAATATACTTAACAATGATTATAATCAAAGGAACATCTACAGGATAGTATCAGCCATCTAAATCTGCCAATATACTAGCTATACCTATTCCATAATCTTGAGCTCCAGAGGTAATAGGATGATACAGTTGCTATAGTTACATAGATCAAAAAGAATAATGCAAGTAAGGCCATCAAATCTGTGTAAATTATGTTTTTACCTTCTTAGGAACCAAATGATAATGCAGACTGACTTCATCTTCTTTTGACAAACCTAGATAAGTATTTCTTAGAGCTATTTTATTGGAAAGAATGTGATAAAGAAATTCAGTGACAGCAACCCTTTTCACATTTGGAACATTTAAAGTCTGCAGCTGAAAATGGTGGGGAAATCGCCATGGTAGCCCGGATGAAATTTTTCAGGAAAAAGAAACACCCCCCAGGAGCATGTATAAACTTACCCAAACAGGTGAATTGAGTTGCTGTTCTTATCTCAGGTACAAAGTGGGTAGATGTGCAGAGTAACACCAGGAACAACAAAACAGAGCTCTGTAGTTGACTTAAAAGTAGTCCAGGAAATTTTGATTTTTTTTTCATGCAACCAGGTGATAATGGAATGGTCCTTCTGGGCCCAGTTGAGGATCCACTCTGGGGTCATTCTTCCCTTTCCTTACAGACCTTAACTGCCAAACAACTCAGCACAGATGCCTTTCCACAACTAGTTAATTGCAATGAATTTCCATCAGCAGCTCAGCAGTGGGACTGAAGTGACAGCCTAATTGTGGAGGATTAGCAATAACAAGAGCATGAAATGAGGGCTGAAACAGTTGCCTGGCTAATTCCATGTCCATCTTGGACTACATTCATACTTCTGGGCGGAAATTACATTTTTGGGCAAAGAGAAATACTTTTCTTCTTTTCTTGTTACATTGATTATTTATTGGAGAATTGGACTCGCTTAGCCTCAGTTTGTTGTCTCACATCTGATAATCCTCATTGTGTATTGTTTTTAAACACATCTTTGAGTTGACCATTACTGCTTCCCATATCTCTTATTGCCTTTTCTCAACTGGTTGAACACTAGTTATTGAGTGAAAATGCAACTTTCATCTATATACCTTTCTTCATCCAGTCCACTTAGAGAGTCATAGAGTCATTACGTCATTAGAACAGACTAATGTCTCAGTCTTTTGATCATGTAACTTGAATTTAATTGACTTGCACTGCCAAAATAATCAATAAATAAGAGACTTTCTTTCCCTTTAACAATTTCTTGACACTGTTGTTTCCTATTGTAATAATATTCATAGTCAAAAGAAAGTTGCACCAGCATTTTTCTCCTCGATCTTCATTATTCCCCTGAAGTTTTTGATGCATGTTACAGAGGTGCTTTAAAGATTCAACTACTTAATCACATTTCCCTTTCTTCAAGGGTGAATATAGTCCGTGGAATGTCAAGAAATTGCATGACCTTCGATGGCATTCTAACTAAGTGTCATCTCTCAAGCCTGATATCTACACAATAGAATATTGCAGTAGATATTGATCAATAACAATCAGAAGTAAACATTAAGCTTCATTATTCCTTTGCCAGGCTGGGGGATATTGAAGCCAATTCTCAAACAAAATTATCTAAGTTTAAGTCAATTGTATCAGTGTAGAATTGTTCATGCAACTTTCCTGATAAATTAGTCTCATTATCACACAATGCAGTTGGCAATTTATTTCACCATAATAAGAAATATTTGCTGAAAATAGCAATTATGTTTGGCAAACAAAGCATGAAATTGTCAAATATATGTTCAAGATAAACAAACCTATAGGTGTTGCCTATTTAAAATTGTTTCTCAGTATGCAGCCACTCTTGCCATATTCTCTAAGTGTTGTCATTAGGTTGTGGCTGGGAACTCACTAGGTTTGTATCTAAATCCACCTAACTTCTGCATAAATGAAAATCATTGAAACTTTTCAAAAATAAATGTTATCAAAATTCTGTGTAACTGGTGTACTTTCTGCCACACATGCACATTTTAGCATTAGTATTTTAGATAAGAAAAATGGCATGTAAAAGACAAGTGTGGGTTAAATCAATGTAATGTATTTACTATTAATTCCTTCTGAGGATTCATGAAAGCCCAGGTTGAATGGAACAAACACATGAAAACTGCTTTCCCCCTCTAGGATTGACATCTTGTAACAGCTGCAAAGCTGTTAGATCTCACAAATCTGGATAATTTCAGACCAGTACTATTGCATAGCTAATGCTCGTCTGAGCAACAATGTCCATGTGTGGATGTAAGGACAGAGCTCTAATCCTGTTGTTCACTGAAATACAGTGCAACTAGCTATCAACTTTGTAATAGATGTCTGTATCCTGATGGCTTATGTAAAAAGATGCCACTAACTGAACCAAGGTCCTGCTCTAGCCAACCAACAGGATGTCCCCTTAGTGATGTTTGCAACCAAAACTATGGTGTAAATGGGCAATGAAGTTATCTTTATGCCGCTGTCACCTTATTTGTGTTAGATGGTACAAATTAATTACTGGCTCCATGTTTCTTAATGTTCAAGTTATGAAAATTAAAATTCAGGAGCCTAAAGGTAAACGGCATTGTAATTATGAGAATCTCTTCAAAGGAGTGCAGGGTTAATTTGGTTAATGCAAGATTAATGTTTTATTTCCTTAGGATCAACTAAGTTAAATTGTTATTATTGTCTATTTCTTAGCGGTGGCCTATTGCTGGTATTTTCTGCTAGCTTGACAAACACTTTTAAAATAAACTCTTGTCTGTGACTCTCAAATAGTATCTTAAATAATTGGTAGTTGTAACGTGAAGATCTGTCAGGCAGCAAATTACTGACAGCTACACTGAGCAGATGCGGGCCATCCAAATACAAGCAAAAAATCAAAAGTTACCTTCCACAGCAGAACCGCTTAACAGTTTACAGAAGACATACAATGGGAGAATTAAATAACATGAATGAATAATATCTTAAAACCAAATGACAAGACCATCTTTTCTGTTACAGAAACAGCATAAGCCATAATTTGCAATGACAGAACATCAAACAATTTTTGATGTTAGTTAGATTTGCCTTGCTCTTTAGGGTTTAAATTTTTTATGTGGCAAGTTTCGGAAAACGTGAATTGATAATGTCACAGTAAGAGAAACTTGGCATCTGGGATATCAAATAATGGTGCACTTCCTTAGCCAAGTTGATTGAATGATTGGGAAAATAGCAGAGGAAAGTCTAATAAGACAATATAAATTAGAAGAAGTGAATCCAATGCCAAACCAAGTTTTGAAGGAGAGATAGAGGGAGGAAGGAAGATTAGATTGTCAGATAGAAAAGAAAACAGAGGAAGTAAAATAAAGTATTAATTTTAAATTTGTGATCAACTAAGCTCATAAAATGACTTAGGTTTTGCAAAAAAATCATAATTTAGCTTAATTTCATGTTTCAGTTATTAAAAATGATATTTTTTGCTACATTTAATTTGAGCCAATTATTTTTCTGTTCTGGTTTTCTATTCATAGTCTAACTGTTGAGTAACTATTAAACAAAGCTAAATCAGAAATTGTTAAAAAAGCTCAGCAGGTCTGGTAGCATCTGTGGAGAGAAAGCAGAGGTAACATTTCGGACCTGAAACATTAACTCTGAGTTCTCTCTAGAGATGCTGCCAGACTTGCTGAGCTTTTCCAGCAATTTCTTTTTTTGTTTTTGATTTACAGATCCACAGTTCTTTCAGTTTTTATTCAACAGAGCTCATAGTTAACACACTCACAGTCTCAGATGCCTTACACTCATCAGACCCTGACCTGAAACCAATTGAACACTTCCACCCAAATCCGATATCACTATCTCCCCCAACCAGCATTTCAGCACCCAACCTTCTCAGCACTAATATCATACTTGGCCTTTGAAACCAGCTGTCACAGTGACTGTCAGGACCTTTAAATGTCAGATTATGGCAGCCAAGTGCAGTGTAAAATGGGTGAGGCTTGATTTCCTGTGATAACTCTATGTTTCAAAAGAACTATTGGAATGGAACTATGTCTCCACATTTCTGAGGGAGACCTGCATGGAATCTCCTCTTAGAAATGTGGATCTCTCTTCTTTCTTAAGAAAAGGATTAGAATAGCAATTTTTGTGGGATTGCCACTCACTGGAAAATCTGGTCCAATGTTTGTGAATTTTTAATTGTCCTTTCAGAATAAATAATAATAACGTGAGCCCTAGCAAAATCAAAGTTGTAGCTTAAGTAGGCATTAATGTTTTGGTGACGAACTGAGTCAGAACTTATTTAACGAAAAATCAATACTGTTAATTGAAACTCATTTCTGATCCTGCTTTGCTGTATACAACCTGTCTCAAGTTTACAAGTAATATAGCAATAAACACGCACTTTAGGACTACTCCAACTTGCATACTTTATCTTTTCTTTTTATCTATTTTACCTTTTCCCCTGCCCTGACAGCTTAGGCTGAACTGATGAGTGAAAAAAAGGTAAGATGATCCTTGAATGTTTTTATGGACTTTCTTGGCAGGGAAAAGTAGACTGGGCAATGTTTCTTGTAGATAAGAAAGCCCTGTCAAAGGACAGTTCATTGATCACAAGAGATTTCAATTACCTTAATATTGACTAATATAAAAGCAGTTAATCAGGGTGCATGTTTCTTGAGATAATGTGGACTTGTATTCCTTTACAGTTTACTGAACATCCATAAAAAGTCAGAGGCTATTCTGCACTTAATCACAGGAAATGGAGCTACTGTAGTTAATAAGGTTGAAGCTAGAGAACATCAATGAACCAGTATTCTTATCAACAAATTTGAAAAGGTCAAAACAGTGATGAAAAGGACAATTCCAAATATAATTTATTTTATTTAAATTAATGAACAGCTATGTTTAGACAGCACACGGAGGAATTTTAAGCCAATGCCTTGATCAACACAGACACAGGGGAAATTAAGGAGGTAGCATTAAAGAAAAGTTCATTAGGACTCAAAGCGTAGAAAAAATCAACAGAGAGTTAAAAATTTTTCAAAATGTTAAGAGACATTGCAAATTCTATTTATGTCATTGTCTAATGTAATTAGGTAGGACTGCAAGTAGAGGAATCAGGTGAAATAATTCCACAGAGGCCAGTATCCTGTTACCAAGTGACCCTTTATTTATGTGTGCATAGGATTTTGACTTTGGTCTGGCTTCCACAGAACCAGCTGTCTGAGTGAGCAGAACCTCTGACACTTCTGTTTATATCTGTCAGCCAAGGGTCTCTGATTGGACCAGATTAACAGCCCCAATCATAGAACTCATAGCCTATGTCCTCTGCCTGGCTGACTTCATTACAATCACAATCTTCCTCCCCTTCTAGTCTGGCCTGTTCTTTTACTTGTAGCCTGGGGTGTTCTCGCACTGGGTCCGGTTCCTCTGACTCAAACTCAGGTATGGGTGGCACGTGCTGGACCGGAGACCACCTCTTGTGCCCAGAACATCTCGGAAGAAATTCATCCCTTTCCTCAGGCGGTAAAGTAACAGGGCTGCGACCTGTGCCGTGTCCATCTCAGACTCCAAGATGTCTTTGATGCTAGATGGAGGGGAGAACCCAACTTCGTCCCCTAAAGTAAAACATGTCTCTTATGTAGTGTAGAGCTGGATGAACACAGCAGGCCAAGCAGCATCAGAGG